GGCGCCAGAACAGCAGGGCCGCTGGGCGAGCAGCTAGGGGAGGTGGGTGGTGGCGGTTGGGAGCTCGGCGCCAGCCGGCCATGGCGCTCGGCACCTTTGCTCTGGAGCAGAGCAAGGAAGGGGATGGGGAGAGAGAGAAAGGAAGGGAGCGCTCGAATTCCACTTCACGCGTGCGTGCTACAGATATTGGTGAGATGGAAAGCATGCGACGAGGGTGTGGCCACGTGGCAGCGGCTCCTGCGTGCGGTCGACGATGGCCGCTTCATCACATCCGTCCGAAATCGATTGAGCAGCGTACAAATTTCACCCGAGTGAGCTGTAGATTTACTGAAATAAAATCGTCGGCTAACAAAAATAGTAAAACAAAAGCAAAAAAGTTTGAAACCAAGAAACTATTCGTGTGTTCAATATTAGGATAGAATAAGATAAGATAAGATGAGCTAAGACATAGACTATGTTGACAAATAATTCATATCTGATCTGCATGTCACTTCGGCAGGGATGTTATTTGGGTGCCGGTTACGTGGCTTTGTAGCATATCCTGCACCACTGCCTGCATGTCAGCGTACGCCGATCCGCCCTTCTCCATAGCCTTCCTGCATGCCGCCTTCATCTTCCTGGCCTTCTCCTTCGCCTTCCTCCCCTCCTCTGATCCGCCCATCAAGCTCCGTGTAGCTCGCTCCAGCTCCGCTGCCTCCACGAAGTTGTCCCTTTCCGTGCTGACCCTAAGCTCAGCAGCGACACCCATGCACGCGACGAGCTCGAACGCGTTAAGCGGCTGCTCGGTGTACAGCGGCCACGGCGCCATGGGCACGCGCCGTGCCACAGGCTCTCCAGCACCGAGTTCCAGCCACAGTGGGTAACGAAGCCACCCACGGCGGCGTGGGCGAGGATCTCCAGCTGCGGGACCCAGCTCGGCCACACAACCCCCTTCGCCTTCGTCCTCTCCAGGAACCCGTGGGGAAGCAGGTCACCGAGGTTCGCGTCCGTCGGGTTCTGCGAGCTGCCGGCCGGTGGGCCGCGCAGCACCCACAGGAACCTGTGCTCACTGCTCTCGAGGCCGGCGGCCACCTCGCGCGCCTGCTCCGCGTACATCCACCCCATGCTCCCGAAGCAGAGGAACACGACGGACGCCGGCGGCTGCGCGTCGAGCCACCGGATGCACTCCTGCGCAGACGACCGCCGGCGCCGAGCATCGACGCGCGGCTTCGGCGAGAGCACCGGGCCGATTGGGTAGACCATGGGAGCACGGCCACCGGGCGTGCACCGGCCGCCGGCGATTGACGCTAGAACGCCTGGCTCCAACTCGGCTGCCATGTTCACGACGATGCCTCTGGCTTCCAGGAAGCGGCGGCCGTAGTACGCGAACCACGCGTAGTCGTTCACGTCCGGAGACGGCATGGAGGCCACCGGCACCGGAGGCATCCCCGGCACGTCGACGACCCCTCCCTCCTCCCGCAACGTGGAAGTGATCAGCTCCTCCTGGATGGCCGGTAAGCGCAGCATGAGCGCAAGCGTGGCGCCGGTGGACGCGAAGTAGACGTAGGCTGGCACGGCGAGGTCGTGGGCGACGTCGAGGAGCGGGGTCCCGAAGAAGTCGACGACGACCGCTGCCACCGGGGCCGCCAAGCCCGCGATGGCCTCCTTGACATGCGGCACGTAGAGCCCGATGTACTCGGACGGGTGGACGAGGTCGGTGCGGTGCTCGATGGCGGGGAGGTGGTGGAAAAACGATGCCGTCGTCGCTGGCGGCCATCATCTCATCGTGTACCTGCAGGCTGGTGGTCTCGGACGACGACGCGGCCATCGGCGGGGGCGTGACGAGAACAGTGAGGCTGGATGCTGCAGTGCCGCCGGCGCTGCAGAACAACAGTCTCTTGCCGGCTTCGAGCATCGACGAGAAGTGGCCGGGAGCCCCCATCGGGAGGAGCACGATGGTTGGGCTCGGCATGTCGTCGTCTATTCCTCGACGAAGGTGGTGTTTGTCTTACCGGCATGGCGGCACCTATATGGCTATATGAAGGACGTGCGGCATCCGTGAAGTGCACGTAAGCACGTTGTTGGTCCAGACAAGGTAGTAGGTACAGTACAGTAGAGATTAGAGAAGGTAGTAGGTACTGTACGTCTGTACAGTAGAGACCTTCAGAGGCAGACCCCGAGCAAGAAATCTGACCGTGCACACCACTGTGGTCCAGATCACACATCGTATTCAGACACATGTCAGACTGTCTCCGATGGATAACGCATATGAACACCCAGACCAAAATGGATCTTGGAGGGTGCTGTATCAGCCTCCAACAGAGTACATGTCGGTGTTTTCGGACCACCGACGAGTAAATTTGTATTTACGCGTCTGACTCGGATGGTGTGCTCGGAAGACATAAGGGTTTATGCTGGTTCAGGCGAAACGTCCCTACATCCAGTTTGCTGCTGCTCGTGTTACCGGCACTTGGTTTGCAGTAGGGGTTACAAACATGCATAAGAGGGAGAGGATCCCAAGTCTCTGGTGGAGGGAGTGAACGGGTGCTGAGAGCTCGATTGCCGCTCAGCTATGTGCTCGTGTCGTGCTCTTGTGTTTTTTTATCTCCTGTCCGGATCCTCCGGTAGGGGCGCCCTGCTTCCCCTTTTATAGGCGAAGGAAAGTGCGGGTTACAGAGGAGGAAAAGAAGAAGAACGAGAGAGAGAAGAAGGCTTCCAGGATCGTCGGTCTTTCTTCTCCTTCATGCGGGTCCCGCCGATCCTGTAGATGTCAACAGGGACGGCTCTAGGTCACGACCCTGTTCGTCACTGGCGCCATACGCAGGAGTCATTTGCCGATTATGGCGTTCCACTCCGTCCCGGCGGACGTCGTGGTGAGCTGACGCGTCTGTCAGTATCCGTACGAGGATTAGGCAGAACAGTACCGGCACGCCCGACACTGCTTTTGATGTAAATCGCTAGGTATGGCCCGTCATGGCCACGGGTTACATCGAGGCGTGCCAGCTTCTTCCCTGGTGTCAGAGTTTTGACCAAGCCCATACGCTTAGACCTGAAGTGGTTGGCGGCGGTATGAGTCCCCGTCGGACGAGACGGAGCCCGCTGCCTTGGGGTCAGGCGAGACGGAGCACGAGCACAAGGGGTCAGGCGAGACGGAGCCCGCGGCCTTGGGGTCAGGCGAGACGAAGCACGAGCCCAAGGGGTCGGGCGAGACGGAGTCCGCGGCCTTAGGGTCGGACGAGACGGAGTCCGCACCCGAGGGGTCGGGCGAGACGGAGCCCGCACCCAAGGTGTCGAGCGAGACATTTCAATACATCTCGAGCCATCCGGGGGAGTCAACGTGGACGCTAACTTCCTTGCTTTGGGTATCCCTAATAACGATACCCTACAGTACCTATATGCGAGATTCATCTTGGGTTACAGCAGAGGCACAACCCAAATATGAGTATCATCTCTGCTGAAGAATTATTTGCAGAAATGGTTCTTTTTTGGGTCTTGTTGTTGGAGAAGACAAAAATAAGTATGGAACTCTTTACCTGTAGCGCTACCCAAACATGAAATGAGTCTTGTATTTTGGGTCATATTGTTATAGATAGCCTGTAAATATAGGTGCTCACACAATTAGCTAGTCAATTACTACTACTTGAGGGTTGGCTGTAGCACCGGTCGCTGGCACAGTCACTAAATTTGTGAACGCTTCTACTTCCTCCGACTTTATAAAGAATGTCGTTTTGGACAGCGACATGGTGTCAAAAAAAACAACTTTGACCGTTATTTTTTCTATAAAATATTTATAAAATATAGTCAATATATACTTTTATAAAACTATATTTCGAGATGAATCTACTTATATCACTTTTATATTTTCAAACTCAACCCAAAAAAATTTATTTATAGTCAAAGTTTAAAATATTTGACTTAAGACGACCTCAAAACAACGTACTTCAGCCAACCGGAGGGACTATACGCTAATGGAAGGCGTCAAGTGCATAAATGGCACACGGTGAAAAGCTGACATTTTGGCCGAAAATAGCGCTGCAGTGGGAGATGCTTGGTGATGACTATGGCCAAATGGATACCGATGATCTGGTTGTCCACACGAAGATGCCAAATACTGTAGACAGCTAGCTACCGTGGACACGGTGTCGTTGGTGAGACGGCCGGCCGGACGCGACTGAAGCGGGTGAGGTGGGCGTCGGGGCACTCGCCATGGGAGTCTAGAGCTCTAGTCTCTAGTACTTGGCAAGAAGATGGCCTAGGGCTGCCGTCGTTGGCGTTGCTGGAGATTTTTTTCTTATCTTTTTAACACGGCCGCAGGGATTTGGGGAGAGGAGAGAATAGAGATGTGGTGAAGAGAGAGGGGTCGGGGTCAACTCAGCTCGGGGCACAACGAATGGTTGTGCTTTGAGAAACGGCAAAAACCGTTCGAGCAAAATGTGTAACAGCGCAAGCTGACTAAATGGTGTCATATATAGCATACCCACATGTTGCTGTGGGAATTGCGGATTATTGGATCGCGTGGTATGATGACGTTGACAACAAAATGATTATGTGTCTTGATGATGTGGACATTACATTTGCATGTGCTAATGGATTTTAATTTTATGTAATAGTACATTGCCTAGTTGCAATCCTCTAGTTAATAATAGTTAGATGTTGTCAAGTTTTATAGCACGGACAAGTGGATGCTCATAGACGACTAAACACTCGATCTCCAGCTCAACACTGATTCTTGTGCTTTTCTTTTTAAAAATGGTTAGCTTTGTATGTAGCACATTCTTTCTTCACAGCCGGTTCATCCATGGAACTATACAAAATTCTTTAGTACGTAGTGGCATATATGATACGGAGTATGAGATCACAGTACTAGGGAACATGCTCGTATGTAAGCCAAAGAGCTATTGCACGATGCCACGAGCCCACGATCCATGCAAAAAATGCCTCATGCACCTGGTTCCCCTGCACCTACTAGTGCTACACTAGCAAAACCCATGCCTGCAGCTGCAGGATGCAGAGTCGCGCCTTCACGTCCCTCCGTGTCCCGAGATCTCCCGCATCAGTCTCTGCAACGCGGCACACGACGACCCGCCCTCCTCTGCCGCGTTCCGGCACGCGGCCTTCGCCTCGGCGGCCCTCTCCCTCGCCTTCCTCCCCTCCTCCGACCCGCCCATCAGCGCCAGCACCGCGCGCTCCAGCTCAGCGGCCTCCACGAAGTTGCCCCGCTTCCTGTCCACCTCCATCGCCACGGCGACGCCCAGGCCAGCCACAAGCACGAACGCGTTCATGTGCTGCTCCGCGTACAGCGGCCACGTCACCAGCGGCACGCCGTGCCACAGGCTCTCCAGCGTCGAGTTCCACCCGCCGTGCGACACGAAGCCCCCGATGGACGGGTGCGACAGGATCTCCTTCTGCGGCGCCCATCTCGGCCACACGAGGCCCCTCTCCTTGGTCCTCTCCAAGAAGCCTCCCGGGACCAGCTCCTCCACGTTGGCGTCGGTCGGGTAGGGCGACCCGGCTGGCGGCGGGCCACGGAGCACCCACAAGAACCGGTGCTCGCTGCGTTGCAGGCCCTCAGCGATCTCGTGCACCTGCGGCAGGGTCAGGTTGCCCAAGCTCCCGAAGCAGAGCAGGACCACGGACGAACGCGGCTGCGCGTCCAGCCAGCGCAGGCACTCTTGCGACTGCTCGGCAGGCGGATCAAAGGCGATCACGGGACCGATCGGGTAGATGGTCGGGGCGCCGCGCCCGGGCATGCACCGGCCGTCAGCGATGGCCGCGAGGGATTCCGGCTCGACCTCCGCCACCGTGTTGACGATGATGCCGGCGGCCTCTATGAACCGGTTGGCGTGGTACATGCTCCAGGTGTAGCCCGAATCCCTCTTCATCACGGCATTCGGCAGGAAAGCCGCTGGCACCGGCGGCATACCAGGCACGTCGAACGCCGTTTCCGCCTCCCCAAAATCCCCCGCCACTTCCTGGTCCAGCGCCGGCAGCCGCAGCATGAGCGCGAGCATGGAGGCCGGGGACGCGAAGTACACGTACACCGGCAGTGCCAGCTCGCGGGTGGCGTCGAACAGCGTGGTGCAGAAGTAGTCCATGACGACGGCGGCGACGGGGCATCCCAGGCCGGCAATGGCCGCCTTAGCGTTGGACGCTTGCAGCTGAATGAAGCTGGAGATCATGTCCTCCGGGCCGGAGAAGGTGGGGAGCTCCACGTCGGGGAGGCGGTGGAAGCGGATGTCAAACCCCGAGCCCGAGGAGGCCTCCTGCTCCACGATGTGCGCGAACCTGGCCATCGGCAGTGGCGCGAGGAGCACGGTGAGCGACATGGCGCGGTCGCCGCCGCTGCTCATCAGCATCCGCTTGCCGGCTTGGAGCATGGACGTCAGGTGGCCGGTGACGCAGAACGGGATGAGCACCACCGTTGGTGTTCCCATTGGAGGAGATGATTATTTGATTGGTTTCCCTTGGTCACCAAGAATTCCAGTACAAAAGTTCGGGGCTAAATGAAAATCGTCGTCAAGAACTAATCTTAGTTTCATAATCTCGCCTGATCCGAAGCACCTTTCTTGGTACTGCTAAATGAAGTTCACGGCAAATGTGCGCGGCTTGCCGCACGTAGCTGTCAAAAATACAGTATCCACATCTAAAAATAGAAAAAGAAAACCCAGCAACTCTTGAATGCCAACATATCAAAAAATGATAAAAACTGCACGCAACAACTGCCTGTCTCCTCCATGCATACTAACATTTGTGTCTCCAAATAGGTTTACTATGAAAATTTATTTCATGATTCATCTAATGATAATTATTCAACATCACACATTTCTTACAGATTTGGTCAAGCTTAAAATTATTTGACTCATCGAAAAATGAGAATTGCACTCTTTTGGAGGGACTACTTGTCAAAGCAGAAACAATTTGATTCGATGACCTTTGAATGCTTGTATTTTCCACGCCGTATATCCAACTCATGTTTTGTTTGCACCACTTGAGAGTTATTCTTGTTGGGTTGGTGTTTGAGGTAGAAGAAATGGCAGAACATAATGAAATGGGAGAGGATGCTGATGTATATATGCTTCTCAAAGATGAATGAAGATAGAAATTTGCAGGATTTAGGTATTCAAATGGGACAGGTTGATTTTGTAACAATTCAAGAGGCCACGGAGGAAATTGCTAGTGGCATGGGAATGCTGAATTCATGTTGAAAGAATGACTCAAAGACGTCGTTAGAGATGACAGTCCGACAGTGCATGATATGGAAAATAAATCAGTGTTGGGACCTGATGGTTTTTCAGTTCTGTTCTTTAGAGAATTCTGTCCTCAAATTAGACTAGAGGTATTTGAGATGCTTATAACAAACTACATGAAGGTAAGGCTTCGGGGACGGTGTCGGCTTCGGTGACGGCAGCTGGCTCCGGCGTCGGCGTCGGCGATGGCAGCCGGCAACGGGAGCGGAGTTGGCTTCACTGGCAGGGCGGCGGCTGGCACAACAAGTACGGGCCTTGGCCACCGCTGCGCACGGGTTGAGGTGCTATGGCGAAAGCTGTGTCCGTTGGACCGATGGCGGCGACGCCTTCGGGCACCGTATTCTTCCTTGGAAGCGTCATCGATCAGCCCTCTCCCCTTCGCGTGGCGTGTTCTTCCTAGGTGTAAAACCTTGACCTTTCTGGTCAGGCAACGGTGGCGCCATTGGTGTCGCGTCCCTCCTTAGAGGCATCGTCTTGGAAGCTTGTGCCTGTCAGTATGTGTCGGCCGCCACCGGCGTGGCGAGGAGGGTGGAGGCCTAGCTGAGGATTCAAGTTCCTAGTGTCTACTGCGAGGGAAGGTGGTCGGGAGGAGGCGTTGGCGCAGCGATTGGAGGGTCTCCATCTGTTTGGCAATTGGTGAGTTGCGACCACGAAGTTGGCGAGGATGCCGGCGGTGGAGGCGCCCACGGAGTTGGCGAGGAGGCCGACGTGGGAGGTGGTGGCCAATAGACTTGCGTTGCCGAGGTGACCTGCGTGGTATGGCGGTGGGCAGTCCTGCTCAGCGGTGGCTATTTCGGCGCAAGGAGGCTTCTGACCGGTAGCCGGAGGACGTGTGTGACACTTCTACCTTCGATGGCACGGCTAGGTTACTGGAAGCTGCGGTGTGCGCGCATGGATCTCGGTGGGCGGGGTTGGCTTGATATGCGCCTGAGGCAGCTCCTCTCGCGTCGGTTTGGCAGCTTGCAGCGGCCTGCGGGGGGGTAGGCCCACTTTGTAGTGGCTACTTCGGTGTGGGACAACGTTTTCAAAGACGCCGCAAGCGGATCTGATTGCGGAAGGGCTACACGACTTACATCGGATTGCAGCGGCTAGCCCTGCTTAGCAGCGGGCTACTCGGTGCGGGACAGCGTCAGCAACGACAGCGCAAGCGGTGACGAGGGCGTGTTCGTCTTGATGGCTTTTGTCTTTCAAAGGGGTGGCAGTGCACTGTAGTGACCAGTTCGTGGTGGTTTGGTGGCGGTGAAGCGTGTGTTTTATGTTGAGTCGTAGCTCGAGTCGATGTCCCATTCTGACCGGCTAGAGTTGTTTTTTTCCTACTTCTTTGAGTTTGGGGTTTCGGTGCATGTTGATGTCCCAATCCAACTGGCCGGAGTTGTATCTGCTCTATTTTTGCCCAGTCTGGGTTTCATTTGCTTTTTAATATAATCGGCAGCTCTCTTGCTTGATTCGTTTAAAAAAAATGTGGACTTAGCCAGATTAAACTATGGAGTGTTAGTGTTGATTCCAAAAGGCATAGGAGCCAATTTAATTCAAGCTACAAGTTAGCTTCAATTGCAGTTCATCATTTGCAATATGTTCTGTAATCTTCCCCTCAACTTGTTAATTTACCTACATTTCTTCCTCTGGTCACTTCGCTATGTAAATATGCTTATCCATGGATGTTCTTTTACATTAAGTGACCCTAGTGTGTCTTTTTCTAGGATGGTAAAAAACAGTTGCAATATTTAGGAATAACAGACATGAGCAAATGATGGAAAACAACAACTTGCTAAAGCAACTGTTTGTCAGTAATATTTGAACTCTACTTGACTTCGTACCCCTAATTACAGGTTCTGGAGAGCATAATGGATGAAGAAGGGGAAGAACTAGAGGCCCTCATTGGGCTTAGTTCACAAATATGTAAACTCATTCGTGTAAACTTTGATCAAGAACTAGAGAATGGTCAGAGTAAGGAAATGTTTGGGAAGATGCTTGTTAACTCCCTGAAAGCAAATATGGCCTCGTTAGGCTGGTGCTAAAAAGCACTGTAGCCGGAGGAAAAAACACTGTAGCTAGCTGATTCATCTCACATATTCCTCCCAGCGAACGGGGCCCATGAACCCAGCGGTTCATTGTCCTGGAACTAGGAGGGTAATAATTGAGTAAGCCAATATTTGATGAAGTACAATTCTCAGAATGCAGAGCTTTTCAACCAGTATGGCATGATGAAAGCATTATTGATGGTAGAACAAACACCCTCAAGGGTTGAGAGGTACACGATCTTCTTGGGGGAATGCAGGACTCATGGAGCACAAAAACTCTTGTGGCTAAAGCAAAAGAATTGATGCGCGTAGCAATGTCTTCTGACAGGTTAAGGAGGAAGTAGTAGAACTTGTAAGTGCGTACAACTTTGTCATTTCCATACCGAAATCGTACCGACATTATATGAACTGTACTCTCTCTCTCCACAAAATAATGTAATTATGGGTTTCGTGTCGGTCAAACTAGCTCAAGTTTGACTAAATTTATAGTAAATAATATTAGCATTTATATCTTCAAATAAATTTGTTATTAAAATATATTCTATAACTAATCTAATGATACTTATTTTATATCATCAATGTTAGTATTTTTTATATAAATTTAGTCAAATTCAAACTGTTTGACTCTTCGAAAAAAGAGAATTGCATTCTTTTGTGGACGGAGGGAGTATTTGTTTTCTTATCAAGGTGCTAATATGCTAAGATTCATCTTCACCTAGTAATACTGGTTTTATTATGGACGATCGTTTGTTATATTTTGTGTTCTCAAACATATGTCATTGTGGTTAGATTTGTTGTTTGGACTCTGGTCCGACGGTGATGTATATTTTGAGGCATTATGTATGTTCTGGGCCTGATGTAATCCAAATACTAATGGTATTATTATTTTGATATATTGAAATTATATTATGAAAAAATGCAACATCTCACCGCCGGCCTATCCAAATCGTTGGTGATATGATAATACGGTGTTGATGATAGTAGCAATACCGTCGGAAAAATGCCGCACCGGTGGTGATAGACAAGACATCACCGCCGGACCAAACTCAAGGGCGACGATGATGTCTGCTCGATCACCGATGGATCATATGCCAGAATGACGGTGATGTCTCCATCATTGAGATCGAACGCCAACCGGTTGCGATAGTTACTACATCACTGCCGAATCATACACTAGACCGACGTTGATGTCTCCATCACCGTCAGATCGTATGCCCAACCGACGTTGATGTCTCCAACATCACCGCCGGATCATATGCCAGACTGGCGTTGATGTCTTCATCAACACCACTATATCGTACGTCCGACCGACGTTGATGTCTCCTTCATAACCGTCGGATCGCTAGCTAGACCATCGTTGATGCCTCCATTGTTAACGCTAATGCTAATATCTCCGACCGACGGTGATCATCACCGTCGGTTCATACGTTCGACCGGTGGTGATATTCAATGTACTGTCGTTGGATCGAACTCCGGCGCAGCAGTGATGGTAACGACATCACCGCCGGATTGAGCGTCGATCTGGTGCTGATAACCGAGGTTATCACTAACGACTTTCACAAACAACCAGTGGCGAAGATAGAATAAATTAGAGGGGTGTGCTTCTCTTATAGGTGTGAAAATTTAAGCTACAGTCATGGTGAAAATTTGATCCTAATAGTGATTTTTTCAATTTTCTGTGGGTGCCACCTATGTAGCTTCGCCACTGCAAACAACGGCAATAACTGGCGGTGTTTGGTGTAGTGCTTATTGTTCAACACGTGTTCACACCGTCGCCTGAAGGTTATGTAGATTTTTTATGGGCCTGACTGACTTTTTTTTTTACTAATAATATGTGGTGTCCTGTTACAAACATTGCACCCAACTGATCACGATGCATGCCGACGGCCTTGAATTTTTTACTTTTTAGCTTTTTTTTTAAGTTTCTCACAAATAGTCCTCTGTTGGAAAGATTTTAGTATCTGGATCCTTAGTTCGGCGCCATCGATGCTGGCGCCGAGCTAACACGTCTCAGCACCAGCGTTCCTGGCGCCGAGCTCCTGGGCTCGTAGCGGACGTGTAAGATGACATGGCAGGAAGCTCGGCGCCAGTCACCCTGGCGCCGAGCTCGGCGCCGTAGATCTTGGCGCCAAGCCTTTATTTTAACCCCGCCCCAACCTTCCTGCT